AAACATTTTAGTGACTTAAGTTCAAAGAAACCTCACCTTAGTTTTAAAAGACCTATTCAACGATACCCTACTCAATATTACAGAATAAAAATATTTTTTTTGCCCCCCTTTCACTTGTATGGGAGGGGGTCCAAAAAACATTTAGAATATTTTTTTCTTAACATTTCTATATTTGGGTCAACACGATCTATCTTCTCACCAAATTTCATGTCGATAGCTCTAAAACTGACGAAGATATGAAGGCGCGTCATACAGACAGACAGACAGACAGACAGACAGACAGACAGACAGACAGACAGACAGACAGACAGACTTGACGAAACTATAAGGGTTTCTAGTAGACTAAGAAACCCAAAAAGAATGTTTAGTTTTTTGTAAGAACTTATAATTTGTTTTGATAATGTTTTTTAGTTTTTATTTTGTTTTTGTTAGTGTAACTAATCTTAATAATGTTTTGTGATCTCATTATTTTTAAGAATTTTGATCTCATTTACCCTGTATAGTAATTAGGTTTAGCCTGTTAAGCTATATCATTGTAATTGATTAAATAAATAAATAAATAAAACTTTTCCAAAGAAACTAGTTGTGTAGCATGCACAGTTAACGAGATAAATGAATTTAAAATTTGACAGCTGTCACTTTAAATGTAGATCTCGTCAAGACCTACAACTTTTCTGAAGAAACAAGTAGTGTAGCATGCACAGTTAACAAGAAAAACGAGTTTAAAGTTTGACAGCTGTCATTTAAAGCATAGATCTCATCCAGACCTACTATGTGGTGTAAAATACGTATTTAACGAGGTAAACGAGTTTGAAGTTTGACAGCTGTCACTTAAAATGTAAGTCTCGTACAGACCTCCAACTTTTCCAAAGAAACAAGTTGTGTAGCATGCACAGTTAACGAGGTAAACGAGTTTGAAGTTTAACAGCTGTCACTTAAAATGTAGATCTCGTCAAGATCTACAACTTTTCTAAAGAAACAAGTAGTGAAGCATGCACAAATAACGAGAAAAACAAGTTTAAAGTTTGACAGCTGTCACTATAAATGTAGATCTCGTCAAGACCTACAACTTTTCTGAAGAAACAAGTAGTGTAGCATGCACAGTTAACAAGAAAAACGAGTTTAAAGTTTGACAGCTGTCACTTAAAGCATAGATCTCATCCAGACCTACTATGTGGTGTAAAATTGTAAAATACGTATTTAACGAGGTAAACGAGTTTGAAGTTTGACAGCTGTCACTTAAAATGTAAGTCTCGTACAGACCTCCAACTTTTCCAAAGAAACAAGTTGTGTAGCATGCACAGTTAACGAGGTAAACGAGTTTGAAGTTTAACAGCTGTCACTTAAAATGTAGATCTCGTCAAGACCTACAACTTCTCCAAAGAAACTAGTTGTGTAGCATGCACAGTTAACGACATAAACGAATTTAAAGTTTGACAGCTGTCACTTAAAATGTAGATCTCGTCAAGACCTACAACTTTTCCAAAGAAACTAGTTGTGTAGCATGCACAGTTAACGAGATAAATGAATTAAAAATTGACAGCTGTCACTTTAAATGTAGATCTCGTCAAGACCTACAACTTTTCTGAAAAAACAAGTAGTGTAGCATGCACAGTTAACAAGAAAAACGAGTTTAAAGTTTGACATCTGTCACTTAAAGCATAGATCTCATCCAGACCTACTATGTGGTGTAAAATACGTATTTAACGAGGTAAACGAGTTTGAAGTTTAACAGCTGTCACTTAAAATGTGGGTCTCGTCAAGACTTACAACTCCTTCAAAGAAACTTTTATACGTGCTGAGACATCATCATCATCATCATCATTAGCCTCATACGTCTGTGACAGACGATTTATTCAGTGTCTGAGGCAAGATTTTTCATGGCTGTATAAGCCGATACGGGAGCGGCATGACTTTCTGCACGCTCTACAAACGAAGGTGGAATTGGAGACTGACACATGCATGTTTAGATGTCGTTTTTGCCTTTTGTTTGCGAGACCAGTGAACCAGGCATCATCGTGAGCTTTACGCCCATCAAACACACGCTTTCGCCATACATCCCTATTCTCAGCAAGCTTCTCCCAGCTTTGATGGTCGATGTCAAACGCAGCCATGTCCCGTTTGGCGCAATCTTTAAAACGTAGCATCGGTCTTCCAACTCCTCTTTTGGCGTTAGCTACGGCGCCAAGCAGGACACGCCGCGGTAGACGCGAAGGTTCCATGCGGTACACATGCCCTAGCCACCGCAATCGTCTTTGCTTAAGCAAAGCGGTAAAGCTAGGCAGCTGTGCAATTTCTAAAACTCGCTCGTTTGTGACTCTGTCCTGCCAAGTTATATGTAAGATGTTTCTTACGCAGCGCATATGAAATGTGTTGAGTCGACGTTCTTGTTTTGCGTACGAAGTCCAGGTTTCAGCTCCATACAAGAGTATGCTTAGAACGCAAGTTTGGTAAACAATTATCTTGGTTTTTGTGGTCAGGTGTTTATTATTCCATACTCTTGTACTGAGCCTACCGAACATGGTCGCCGCTTTGCCGATACGAGTATTGATCTCAGCATCGGGGGTAAGATTGTTCGACACAGTCGAGCTCAAGTAGCAAAACTTGTCAACTATGTCCAAGGGAACGCCACCGAGCAAAATACGTGGTGTTTCTCCACCTTGAGCTAGCACTACTGTTTTTGGCATTAATGGACATTGAGAACAGAGAACACGCGTGGGAATACTTATCAACAATGTCTTGAAGCTCACTTTGAGAATTAGCAACGAAGGCTGCATCGTCAGCGAACAGAAGGCTATCGACGAATAAGTCATCGCGGTTACGCTTTGACTTAAGAAGCGAGATATTGTACAGCTTCTCGTCAGCCCTAGTGTGCAGGTGTATACCCTGTTGGTCATCGCCGAAAGCAACTTTAAAAGCAATGAGAAGAAAATACCAAACAGGGTAGGAGCCAACACGCAGCCTTGGCGAACACCTCTACGCATTTCGAACGGCTCGGATGTATTGCCGTTAAAAACAACAGATCCTTTCATGTCCTCGTGGAAGGATTTAATAAGGCTTAGAAGTTTTGGAGGGCACCCGATGTTTAAAAGTGCAGTATAGAGTCCTTCTCTGCTCACGGTGTCGAAGGCTTTGTTAAGGTCGACGAACGCCACAAACAGAGGTGTTTTCTGCTCTCTACACTTTTCCTGCAGTTGGCGAAGTGTAAAGATCATATCTGTTGTGGAACGTTGGGCGCGGAATCCACATTGCGATTCGGGATATACACGATCAGCAAGTTTCTGGAGTCTTATTAAGACTAACCGAGCAAATAATTTACCTACTATACTTAAAGGGATATTCCACGATAACAGTTACAGTCACCGCGGTCACCCTTGCCTTAGTATAGGTTAATGATGTTAGCATCGCGCATATCCTGTGGTATATATCCCGCTTCCCAACATTTACACAACAGATTGTGCAGGATGGGATAGCACAATGCAGAATATTATGCACTTGAGCCTGATAATTTCGGCGTGGGTACCATCGTTTCCAGGTGATTTTCCAATTTTAAGCTGCTTAACAGCCTTGTGGTACTCCCTTATGGTAGGAAGATCATCTAACTCAGTCCAGGTAGCTAGTTTTGGCATGCAATCAGCAGCTTCTGGCATTATGTTCACTGGTTCTGAGTAGAGACCAACATAATGTTCTACCCATCGTTCGAGTTAGCGTTGAGCATCTGTAATAACAAAGCCGTCCGCTTCTTTAAGGGGGGCTGTTTTTTTAGGAAAAGGACCAAGGGCCTTTTTAATCCCAGCGTAAACACCACCAAAGTTTCCCACATCAGCGCATGATTGAATGCTTTGACAAAGCTCGGTCCAGTATGCATTTGCGAAGTACCGTGATGTGCGTTGTAAAGTTGACCCACCCAAAACATAAATGTGAAAGGCTGCCAAGTTCGATAATAATATTGGAATGCTTCGCCTATAAAAGAAGTGAGATCTAAATAAGTACCAAGTTCCATACACAGACCTCAGTTAAAAATAGTTACAGGAATGCACACTTGATTTTTCGCAGTTTGGAAATAAGAATCTACTTTCCAAACTGCGGAAAATCAATTTTCTTTTTTCTTATGATTAAGTTAGGTAAGGAAATATCTCATTTATACTTAACTTTTACTAAATACAAACCTTCGTAACGAATTTTAGGTCGGTACGACGATTGGAAGATATAGATAAATTTTTTGTTTTAGTTCCTTAGGGGTATGAATTTACACCTTCATTATTTTTAAAACTGACTCACACTTGGCCATTTTCAGATTTTTTTGTATAGTAAAATTGCGATTTTCTGACGTCAATATCTCAAGACCTACAATAGGTACATTAATGAAATTTTGTATTTTAGATAAGTAAGTAGATCTCGACAGATACTAGAAATTTCATATGCGTAGATAAAAGAGATTTTGAGTTATAGGTGGGTCGAACTTGGCCCGAAATGGTTCGTGTAATATAACCCACGGCCGGTGTGTCGCTTTTTGTGCTCGAACTTGGCGGACACACTGCTGTGTGTCTAGATTTTGCATTCGATTGGTCGATACGCGTCTTTTCGGATGGGTTAAGGCGATATTTTAGCGCAGAAACATCATCAATCACAATGTAAACAGGCCAGTATGAGAGGGAAATTATCAGGATTGGTCTGGCAACATTAGTTGACCACAGCCAGTGTGACCATATTTAATTTTATTTGTTGTTATGATACCTATCTCGGTTACAATCTACAATTCAACCTACCAAAATATGTTATTATTTTATTTTGACCTGTTTATTAAGCTTCTTTAGCTTGTTAACTTTTTGGTTACAAAGTTAATACAAACGAACTTGTACATACGTAATGTTGTCAGTTGAGTGACTGTATAGTTCTACTAAAAATGTCATAGATGGCGCTAAGCTACCCGTAAGTAGTCAAGTGACAAAAATATATGAACGAAGCAAGTGGTTCACAATTTCGCCGCCTGAGCTAGAGCCTCCGTGGTGTAGCGGTCTAATACGTCTGACCCGGCTTGTCAGAAGACGTGGGTTCGAATCTCATCGCTGGCGTGAATTTTTTCTGCTTGCTTCGTTTGCATTAACTTTGTAACCAAGAAGTTAATATCAATATCTAGTGTTTGATTAAAACATCAAGTGTTAAAAATTACTATCTTGTGGAATATTTCTACAAAATAGTAAACATTCACAAATCGGAAAAGCTCCATCTCTCGTCAAATTGTACATACGTAATGTTGTCAGTTGAGTGACTGTATAGTTCTACTAAAAAATGTCATAGATGGCGCTAAGCTACCCGTAAGTAATCAAGTGACAAAAATATATGAACGAAGCAAGTGGTTCACAATTTCGCCGCCTAAGCTAGAGCCTCTGTGGTGTAGCGGTCTAACACGTCTGACCCGGCTTGTCAGAAGACGTGGGTTCGAATCCTTTTCGAATCCCATCGGTGGCGTGAATTTTTTCCCCTTACTTCGTTTGTATTAACTTTGTAACCAAAAAGTTAATATCAATATCTAGTGTTTGATTAAAACACCAAGTTTAAAATTACTATCTTGTGGAATACTTCTACAAAACAGTAAACATTCTTTAACTTGCTTAATAGCATAAAAAACCTTAAAATCTGCCAAAATCTGAAAACATGGCTTTTAAATCTGCTAAAGTTCTTTTATTAAAAAAAGAAAACTGCTTAATATGGCCACACTACCCGCATAGTGCTGATGGCATCATCAGAGTCGACAAGAGAATTCGTCAAAATGCGGCTGTGCCTCGGGCTGTGCGGTGCGGCTGTGCTGACAGATGGGCGAGGTTCCATATTTGGAGTGTCGAAGACGCTGTTCAGCCATTGATGTCTTGAGGCAGAGATGCTTCATCGTGCAGTCAGGCGGTGAGGCTAGCAGGCATATAGCAGTGGTAGAGCAGGCTGCACGCTGGAGTGTGTCGACAGTCGTGGCTGCTGTAGACCCTGAGATGCTTGAGTGCCGACCGAGGATAGAGCACATGTCGTACTGTAGATCCAATACTGGTACTGCGATGAATGCCGAAGACCAAGTGGCTTGATGATGCGTTGAGGTTAAGTAGTCCAAGTTGCGGTGATGTCCGGTGGAGTGGTGACGTCATGTTGCGTGGCGCTGCAGTCTGGCGAGGCGTTGCGGTGAGCAGGTATGCAGAGGCGAGCAGGATACTGGAGGTGGTACTCGGACAGTGTCAGCTGCTACAGGCCGTGCAGGTGCTGGTTCTGGCTCCAGGTCTTCGAAGCGTCGATGACATATGGAGGCAGGAATGATGCCGCAGATGTGCTGCTGGAGGGAAGCTGTGACTGCAGTGGTTGATGACGTCTGGCTCCGTTGATGAGAGTTGCGATGTCCGTCACGTCGTCGCCGTTGATCACGTCGGGGTCACCAGTGTAGGAGGAGTGATGAGGCCAGTAGGCCGAGTGACGACGGAGGAGGGAAAAGGGTTGCAACCCACCTGGTCAGGGAGTTGAGATCAGGGGAACGACTGTTCCAACCGGACATGTTTGGAAGTTGTATTTATAGCGATCGACGGAAACACTTCGATACCGCGTTTCAGGCTTCGTCTTCTGATTGGCTAATCTTCTCTCATAGTGTGACGTAGCTTGTTATACAGTTGCTAGGCAGCTCAGGACTTGGCATGTGGGGCGCATGCGCGCCGCCACACATAGAACTTCATACAAAGAATTCAAAATGCGGCGCGTACGGTTCGGCTGTGCGCGTAAGTGAGCGTTCAGCTTAACCAAGGGGTATATAGGTTACCTATCATATTTCTGAACGTTTTTTTTTTCTAAACGGACGTAGTGTGCAGTAAGATTCTATATAATATTATAATCTTCACTAGTCGTCATTATTTTTTATTTTTTTCCTGGGATTTTATATGGTGGCTGCTTTATATTGAGCGTGGCCCATAGACTTATATAAACTAGCGTTTCGTGGCCTATCTTTCCCTTCAGGGACATATATATAAGAGATCTGTGCACATCAACAAACAATTAATTTTATTTGGAATTTTACATAAATTTTATTTAGTGTTTGTTTTACAATTTCACAAGATGATTACAATGGGTAATTAATTCCTACATAATAAAAATATTATAGAACCCCGAATCTCAAAGTATGTACCTTACAAGTGGTTTCAGTTAATTTTCGATATTAGGTGTGTTTATAACTCTTTAAAATCTTATCTCCATCGGCCTGGTAATTTCTGAAATATTTATGTATGATCTCAATATGTTAATTTACTAAAGATTGGTATGCAAACTTTGCAGAGGTGTATTCAAAGATGTGCGTTAGGACCGCGGGTGTACAATTTAGGATTGAGCTGCTTATCTACAGGATGGTAGTACCTGCAGTGTACCTCAGTGTACCTACAATGAAATCCAGTGTACCTCTTTAGATAAAAAGTTATTCGATGAAATATGCACACCCGCCATTCTAACGTTAGGATGGCGGGTGTACATTTTTATTTCGGTCTGTAGAAACTTATTTTGCTTTTATTCTTTTGTACTTTTGTGTACCTGCAGTGTACCTGTACATAAAAATATAAAATAATCAAAATGTTGACAAATACCAGTAAAAAACGTGTAAAAACGATATAGGGGAAACTGGGGGCACTTGAGCCCTAGGGGAAATTTTGTTAACGTTATTTCCAGAAAAGCAGAAGACTTAGAGAGCTACTTTCCTACAGGATGGTGGTACTTGCAGTGTACCTTAGTGTACCTTCAATGAAATCCAGTGTACCTCTTTAGATAAAAAGTTATTTGATGAAATATGCTCACCCGCCATACTTACGTTAGGATGGTGGGTGTACATTTTTATTTCGGTCTGTCGATTTTCGTTTATAGTAATTTGGTGCACCTGTAGTGTACCTGTACATAAAATTATTAAATAATCAAAATGATGACAAATACCAGTAAAAACGTGTAAAAACGGCATAGGGGAAACTGGGGCACTTGAGCCCTAGGGAGACTTTGTAAACGTTATTTCCAGAAAAGCAGAAGACTTAGAGAGCTACTTTCCTACAAGATGGTGGTACCTGCAGTGTACCTTTGTATAGTTATATTAAAATCCAGTTTACTTTTACGGTCGTTGACGCTCTGCCTACCCCGCAAGGGATAAATGCGTGATGTATGTATGTATGTATGTATTTGTCAACATTTTGATTATTTTATATTTTTATGTACAGGTACACTGCCGGTACACAAAAGTACAAAAGAATAAAAGCGAAAGGCAAATATTTAACACGGCAACTGAAATACTTTTTAGGCAACTTTCTATTAAGTCACAAAAAAACTAATTTTGCAGTGATTAAATATCTTAGCTAGCTACTCTTAAACTATACAAGCAACAAAATGCTAGGATCAGAAAAACTAAAAACGGCTGCTACTGGAAGGTATCAAATATATCAAGCAGGATCAGCGTAAAACTGGTTAAGGTATTAAAAAAGCTAATGTGGCGACAAATTTTTTCAAAGGGGATATCAAACACTCTTTACTGGCAACTATTGGCTTTCATTATAAAAATACACATCTGGCAGTGATTTTTAGGTAACTTTAAAACTGAACATGGGTATTATAATAATGTATTTTGATATTAGAATTATTGTTTACTGATTTGTAAATTCTTGAAAATGGCGGCAAATGTGCTCGTGTCTCTGAGCTGTGCGGGGGCCGCAGAGCGAGGCATTGAGCGCGTTTCTAGCCAATAGTAAGCGGTGGATGAAAGAGTTTTATATTTGCATAAAAATAATCGTTTTTGTGATTATTAAGTAAATGTGAGAAAAAATTAATTAAAAAAAACAATGAATCAAATTTTAGGCCTTTTATTGCACGCTGTTTTGAATTAATAAAAAATGAGTTTAAAGCTGAAATAAATGAACCTACCTACTTAAGCACCTACCTAAATTTAGCAACAATACTTATGTTTGAGTACCTAGAGTTGCCTACAATACTTACTTACATGAGTATCGTAGGCAACTCTCGTTACTGAAAGTAAGTAGGTTCATTAAAAGTTCATTTAAAAGAGGGAAAGTCAATAATACAATAAATAGACCAAGAAAAGGTTTTTAGCATGTCACAATTTGGTTTATTTAGATCCCTACAAATGTAATCAAAAGTATTTGTTTATAGATCTTGTTTGTATTTATTTCAGACCTTGGTCAAGTTTATAGACAACCCCATTTTAGAATTTATGAAAGCCTATTTTATTTTTTTATCCACCAACAATTTGTAGTCTTAGAAGATAATTTAATTGCCACAAAAGAAAATCACTGCCAGATAAAAGTTAAATAAGACCTCAAATCTCATTAAAAATCTGCCGCTTTCTAGTTAGGATGCTACCTCAAATTAGTCGCCAAAGTAGTTTATTTACTATCCATTTTCAGTTTTTTTTAAGACCCGGTATCGTATCAATTTGTCGCCGAGTTAAATACATGCCAAAGCGAAATAAGTATCTACAAACCGAAATAAAAATGTACACCCGCCATCCTAACGTTAGAATGGCGGGTGTGCATATTTCATCTAATAACTTTTTATCTAAAGAGGTACACTGGATTTCATTGGAGGTTCACTGAGTTACACTGCAGGTACTACCATCCTGTAGATAAACAGCTCAATCCTAACTTGTAAAAATGAAATGTAAAAGTTGTCGGACCTGGAAAACTGCCAGGCTATGGTCAGGCAGACCAGTATTTTTATAGGCAGACTTAAGCAAGCTATCGGTACGACATATTTTTATTCTATTATTCGAAGAGATAAAATTTTTACTAAAAAAGTAAAAGTGGTCGGACTGGGAAACTGCCAGGCTGTGGCCAGGCAGACCAGTATATATATAGGCAGACTCAAGCAAGATATCGGTACGAAATATTTTCATTCTATTCTTCGATGGGATATTTTTACTTTTTAAGAGGGCATACTTTAGCTACTCCGCCAAACATGCCAAGATAGCAGCCGGCAGACCAAGATTTATACGCTTTACTAAACTGCTCCTATCGCTACAGTCATGTCTCATTCCATTCTTCGATGAGATATTTTTAACTTTTTT